CACATTGATTAGCTTTTGATTCATCATGGCACATCGTCCTGTGATGGGCCCCTAATGTGTGTGTGTGTGTGTGCGCATTCAGCTCTTTGGATTCTTTTTTACATCTCAGCTGAATAACCTGTATTAGGAACACTTTTAGCTTGTTCTTTATCGTTTCAAAGGTGGCGCTGAGACTTTAAAATCCAGCTGCATTCTTCCATGAAATTCACCTCCGACTGTCTGAAGGGGACGGGAAAAAGAAGACTGTGCCGAGACATTAACTCAGGTTTTATACACCGCAGAAAGAGCTCTGTCAAACGAGAACGGCTGCGAAACCTTCAATGATGCGGGAAAATGGCACAAAAAGTCTTCATGGAAGGAGAAGAGGAGGGAGCAAACACGGGAGCACAAACCGAGCATCCCCGTGCCTTTCGTGTCCACGTTTGTCACACAGGTTATGAACGTCACTAAGCCTTCATCTTTCATCTGAACGGGTGGGTGGGGGTGCAGAGAGCCCCGCCGTGGGAGTGAGAGCTCAGGTGCTTATTACCAGGTTTGTGGTGCTCGTGTGCAGTGTGACAGACTCAGCAGAACTGAGGCCGTCTGGCCCCATACGGGAGGCCTGCAGAGGCATTCAGGCAGCGGACCCCCCCCAGTGCTGACCACCACACAATCAACTCAAACAACACACTCAGTGGAGCTGCCGATCCGTTACTTTTGGGGTTGGGAAGTCCAATTAAATAACTAAACTGAGAGCGGCGCTTTTCCGAATGAAGAATAGTTTGATCCGTCAGTTAAAAATGAGTCTACAGACACTGATATCCTGCACTGTCATAAGGCCCTTTCCCCAGAAAATTATGTTTTTGATAGCTCTGATCCTGCAACAACATTCAACAAAAGGAGAGGACATTAGAATGGAAAAAAAAAAAGAGTTATTTGACCAAAGGGCTGAGGCAAAAACAAACGCAGTGTGAAGATTAGTAGAAACTGCATTCTTTTAGTCGAATATGTCTTCATGTTAATGAGGTTTACAGTTAATGTAGTGGACCGTAAATTTCAAACTTCAATGACGTGTCGTCTTACTCTCGTGATAAACTGGTAGTAGGACAGGTATACACAACAAATGAAATGCCTTATGGATCATTTACTCTCAATCTAGGAGTAAATTATGCCATTCTCATAATAGAGAATGAATTGCTAAGCTAAATCAAACCAGATGAAAAGCATGATAAAACTGTGCCATTCTTAAAGTAAAACTAATGAACTGACTCACAATTTTTTGGGATTGCATTCTGAAGCTTGATTCAATTTACAACTTCCTGGAAGATTACCTGAAATACAGTAATCAATGTAAAAAGTGCAAGGCTTTGATGCAGGGCTGCTGGAGGGGCTGTTAGTAACGGGCTGAGAGAGGGCAGCTCGTCTGCCCCGAGCAAACCAGAGGGGTGAGTGGAAGGTGGGGAGGGATTAGCAGTGAGGGCTGCAGGCTGCGGCACTGTGGAGTGGATGCTCTTGACAGACTGGGGAGAGTAGAAGGTTCTTACCTCTGGGGGAGTAAGGAAGGGAGGAGGGGTTTCAGACAGGGCTCTTATTAGGCTCTTGGGACACACAAGATAAGGCATTTCCAGCTGCACAGAGTTAGATAAAGTGCAGGATTCAGAAAAGAGCGAAAAGCAAAAAAAAAAAGCTGACAGGAGAGAAGAGAGCTAAAAAAGAGGTCCTAAAGCAGTGTTTTACAGACTTGTTCCAGCCATGAAATATAATTGCTCTGCAGTATTGTTATTGTTTTAGTTACAGCTGACACGTTAAAACCAGTCTGTCACATTATGGCTTCAGATGGCACAATCACTTACAAGGAAACAGCATCATGCTTAGTAATGATTGTTTTCTATTTGTAGGATACATGTACAGCTGTTGAAAAAAAGGCAGTAATACCGAAAATGCAGGAACTTTGCCACACTAAAGCAATAAAAAGTCAGACAGCTGAAGAAGGTTTTTCAAACAACTGTTTTGGTTTTCCTCTTGTAGCTGAACTCAACAGTTGCGGCAGCTTACAACAAGCTTCCAGAGCAGCTGGACAAGGTGTAGAGTCACTGAAACCCACCCCACGAGAAGTTTACAGCTGTTCAGTCATATATTTTCTCATCTCACTTGACCCATTGTATTAATCACTTCTATAAAGATTTCACCCCACAAACAACTCTCCCTCAGTATGTTGCTATCTTTCAATATCATATATTTGTATATATACTCTATTAAATCAATAAGAATGTCCTAAATCATTGGCTTGTTGTCAAAAGAAAAAAACGCTTGTATCCTGCCCCAAAGTATTCACATTAAGTGAAAAAACAAAGCAAATTTGCTTCTTTAATCATTTAATACTTGAGTAATTTCTTCTCTGCATAGTGGAGCAGTAACAAGAGCTCATTAGCAATGATTCCTGCTGACTTTAACGGGCACTAATGACAAAGTACAACTAAAAAAGAGGAAAAACAATCTGTGCTTTTAGCAGTTGTTGGTCAATATACTATTACATCTTTGCCTCTTTTGTTCAAGTATTTACTGAGGAGGAGAAAATAGGCTGAAATCTGAATGTCAATATATTCCTGTAGGAGGCCCCTCTGTGCTATAATGAGACAGGAACCAGGGACGATGAGCCAAAAGGGATCCTCCGTAGGGGATCCTGACGCTCGAGAGAGAGCTAAATAAATCTTGGACTCAAACGCCGATCTTAAAGAGAGGTAGCAGCGTTTTCCTTCTGCCGTGCTTTCCGACTTCCTCTCCAGCTATCCTTTTACAACTCCGTCCCCAGGACCTTCCTAGTGACGGGCTTTTTTCCTGCGACTGTCTGAGCAAACGGTCTGCTGCTAACCCTCTGAGGCCGAGGGCAGCACAGGAGCTAACAACATTAGGACACTGCAGCTTCCTGTGCTCCTCTCGTTCATCACTGGTTCCTAACTGCTAGTTCAGAAAGGATCAGTGTGTGAATTGTTCCATAAAAAACAAATATTAGCCATTTAGTAGTAAAATTGCTGTAATTACACAACTTTAAATTTCCTTGTGGTATCCTTGTTGTGACAGTTACCAGATTTCATCTTTTTTTTTTTAGATATATGGCATGTATATTTCCTCACCAGTACACAGATCAGTATGAGTTGCAGGAGCAATCAGGGGTTGGGGTTGGGGGGGGTAGAAATAAGGACTGATTGGCGTGACACACTCAGACTGACAGGTGGTGAAGCACGTCAGGCCCCTGACACTGCAGCTGCACGACACATCAACATTTATTACATCTTTTTAAGCATTTGTGTGTGCACCCTTGTCCGTGTGTGTCTGTCTGTGTCTTTGAGTAAATCAGTGTTGTACATTATTAATTTAGTCTTAGGAGAGAAATGATACAATGGTTAAAAAAAAATGAATGAAAATACTTGCAGAGTCTTCTGGTGGATTTATGAGATGGAGCGCAAAGGACACGTAATTGCAGCCACACACTCACACAGAACCATGACTGAGATGATGCAGCAGACCTACACTATGAACTTAACGGTCAAGTGGAAAGATTTATACCCCGATTTTCAAACAAGCCTATTTGCGTGTGCACTCTGTGCCAGCGTAGCCTCGTGTCTGCGTTCTGAGTGACTCCGATTGCTCTCCACAGGCACACACAACCTCTCCGCAGTGTGTTTGCACTGATCCTGACTCAGACCATTTATCCACCATGATGGTTACGCAAACCAACAAATATGTCTGTGTAATTCTTAATCTATCCTGCTTACCATGTGAATGTCTTCCAGGCCTTTCCATGGGGTCTGTCTGACTGCCAGTGTGGTGAAGAGGGAAATGAACATGGCTTTACAAGCTGAACCCACCCGGGGCTTTAATTAGAATTAAATCAGTGGAACGAGCTTTGGCTACAAGCAGTCACATCAACCTGGCCCTTGGAAGCACATGAGGTCCAGTTACTGTAGCAAAGCACCTTTGTTTTTCATTTTCGGGGACGACACAATACATGCATGGCAACGACTCAACGCGCTGATGATTTCTAAGCGGACAAACAATCACATACAAATATAATCGCATTTATTCTCTCAGTCATGGTGCGACTCCATCCTCTCTGCCCCATTCCCACAGTCATCAAAAAGCTCATAATCAACCAATTATATCCTGTGCATTCACATAGGCCCTCAGTGGAGAATCGATCTCTTCAAACAACCTTACTGAGTTGACTGTAACAGCGGGGGGGGGGGGGACCACAGCCCTTTTGAGGAGAGGACCACAGCCCTTCTTCTGATGAGGAAGAGGGGCTTTATTTAGACGGGGCCATGTGTTTGTATGTGGGTGTGTGCAGAGGCAGAAGCACCGCGAGGAACAGATGCTCCCATTAATTAGATGTAATGAACATACAAGTAATAACTAAGAGGGCTGACTGAGGGAAGAGTGGATTTATCTGAGTGGTGACTAATTAATGCAATGGACTACATGGTCTCAAGCCAAGCCTTTGCATCTATTAGTGAGTCACGCTCACAGCTGATTCATGCAGGACACATCAGTCCATACCTGGAGTGTACAGGTTGCCCCTACACTTCATTTGCTCCTGCTCTATACCCCCTCTGCTCGTCACAAATTCTTCAAGCTATCTTAAAAATAAAAAAAAGTCAGCGGCTCTCATACTGCTGCTAGACCAAAAACAAAATAACAAAAAAATGTGCACACCATGGGCTGTCTACACTTACCTTCTGCTTCCGCCTCTCCTTCCGCTTGTCTTCTGTGTCCTGCAGCATCTTTTCCCTCCACAGGTCAAAGAAGTACGACGGATTAGTATAAAACTTCAGACAGTCCTTCCCATCGTCCCTGTGGATGGTCAGAAAACCAAGCACTCAGATCACATTTGGGCTGGACATCTTGTTGCCAAGGTTTAAAAAAAAAGAAAGAATCACGACAATTGAAACATATTAATTTGTTTTCAAATAGTATATATTTGTAAAATAAATCTGACAGGTGATTTTGGAAAAAGGAAAAAAAAGGATTGTGATGGATGAGAGGAAAATTATATTTACTGACTCCTGCCCAACTGGTCCCTCAATCAACAAGTTTTGCATTTTGTCAAGAGTTGTCAGAAATGTGGGGGGTTGGAAGAGGGTCAAGTATGCTTTACTAATAGATATATTATATAAAGTATATTTATTATTTGGAAATATATAAATATATTTATATTTAGAAATAGTATATATAGTACAAAATACGCTTGAGGAAATACTTTGGTTTATAAGAGAGTCTTTAGTCCCACACTGTTACTGCATGATGTGATCAATGCCACCAAATGTCCTTTAAAAAGAAAGAACTGTGCAGCGACGATAATTAGATGCCCACCCCTTGTTTTCCTGCTTTATAACACTCTGCTCAAATTCAAGCAGGTAATGCAAATACTCTCTGGAGCCAAGTCAGACTTTAATGAACAAGGCTGCAGGACACGTTTTAGGTCATCTTTGACATTCAAAAGGAAGGCAGGGACGCATGATCAGTCCTGGCTGTCCGTGTGGTCCTGTGTGTAGTCGCCCTCATCAGGAGCTCGCCATGTCTTGGGAGGCAATTATTTGGAAATGACACCAATAAATTCCAGCACACAAAAGATGAAAAGGCATATCTTCAAAAGGCAAGAGCGGAAAGTTTAATGATATGCAGCACAACAAAGGGAAAGAAAAATGATTAAACAATGGAAAGAAGCGCGGTTTGAGAGGCTGCCACTGTGCACCGCAGGTCCAACCTGAGAGTCGGTGTAAAACCTCACGCCGTGGCATTTTTTTAAAGTCCAAAGTGTGTTTGTGTATGAAACGGAGCAACAAAAACACAAAGAAAGAGCATAAAAGCTGCACAGTGGGGGCAGCTGAGAAATAGGAGCCCAGGGAGGCTTCCCGGGGAGCCTCTTAAGAGTGATGCAGGGAGTAGAGAGGAGGAGAAAAAAACAGATGAACAGTTGAAAAGAGGAGAGATGGAGAGAGAATGAAAGGAAACACATCTGAAAAGCAGGCTATATTTTAAATTATTATTTAAAAGAATAAACTCATCGCTAATGATGAGTCTAATCATTTAGTGGAGAGTCAGATTCATTTAGATTCTCTGCCAAAAAAAAGAAAAAAGCTCTGAATAAGTTCATATGACATGGATAACATGGTTTCCTTTGATGCTTCACTGTGCTTCTATGTTTTTTTCCTTTTATTTTTCATACTAGCTGAAAATTCTGACTTCTATATCTGACTAAGTTGAACAAGCACCCCAGCTCTGTACTCTTCAGTACACCGGTGTCCTCAAATGTTCTGGAGAGCTGGCGTGCATAAACACGTATCCGCATCATTGACGCCCAAATTTGAGCTATTTTCCACTCCGAGCCTAAGTAAAATCTCTGGAACATCGGTGGGTGAGACCATGGATGAAGGTAGCGGGAAATATTCTGTAGCTAATTTTATGGCTGTGTCCAAGTGAGCGTGGGTGCCTGCTGTTGAGAGCTGTTCAGCCGTTCTCCTTTCTGCCACATTGTGTGCAGGTGAATATGTACAAACACATCCAGCCTGGTATGAACACACCGAGGAGGCTTTTTCTGCGGTGCTCAAAATGCTGGACAGGAATCACTGATCTCTGCATCACATCCTGCAAGTCTCGACTAAACTGCATTAACATTCTCCTGAAAATAACCAATGTTCACGCATTAAAAATGATCGGATAGGACATTTCCAGACATGAGTGGTTTTTAAGCACTTTTTCTTTTTTTTTTAAGTTCCGTGTTTTTCTAAAATTACACTTTACTGAAACCAAAATGTGTGGATAAGATGGACCACTGCAGCGACATCATGGAAAAAGGAAAACAGAGGTGTCACAAATGTGGACCCCTCATATCCAGGTCTGTTCATGGGATTTTTGTGACTAATACATGTCAAAATAACTTTCCGAATCACTGTAAAGATTCAGAATCGTGTGGCAACATAATCATAGGACAGAAAGCATTCCCCGTCTGTTTTAATGGGAGCTTGCCGAGTGAAACAAGCAACAGTGATGTGTTAAAAAAACCCTAATTGAGTTGCCAACAACCTAATATGTTTTAGTAAAATGTAATTAGAGAAACTCAATAAACAATCTCTAGTCAAGTCTCAGCTCGACAGACACATAGTCCAGCTGACTCCAAGCGCTTTTAAATAAATCCGATCTGCATGTTTTGACAGTGAGCTGCTGTTGACATTACATTTCTTAAGGCAAGAAGAATAACAACACTGTCTATTTTTCTTTTTTTCACAATCTGCGATAAGATGGTCTGAATTCTGTTGGGTGTTTTTCCCCCCCTTTCCCTTTATAGCCACTGATGCAGAGCTTCTGGACTACAACATTGTTATAATATCTCCCTTGTATTTCATTGAGCAGAACATGCTCCATTTGGCTACAAATCATCTTCATTATTACACACTTGCACATCCATCTAAATATATTTGCATTTATACAGCTCTGGCTTTCCCTGAATGTAAACCATACCATCAGGACAGGTGAAACCCCCCCATTCAATGTCAGAAATTAAGCAGATGGGTCTCAAGCATGTTCAGATTGACTCAAATCTGCCATCTTGGTGTGGTGTGTCACTGTGAGCACCAAGGTTTAGCACAAAAAAGATTTCTATGAGAACATGAAGAATTGCCCGGTAAAATCTATAGCTCCAGGCCATTTTTCTATTTAGCTCTGGCACTTAGTTATGATTTTCACTCTCTGTGGAGTGCATTTGGAAAAATATGGAGAAAGAAAAAATAATGTGGATGAGGTTGGGGGAAAGGTGCAGTCGTCAGTAACTTTGCACAGACCTGTAAGGTGTGAGGATGTTGAGAGGTGGCGGCTGCTCGCAGGTGTGGAAGGTCTCATGAAGCGGGACCGGCAGCGACTTGCGTTCAAAAAGCTGCTGGTCCTGAACAGTTGAACTTCTGAAGGCCTTCCTCATAGTAATGTCCTGAAGAGACACTGTGGGGGCGGACAGAGAGAGACGGAGAAAAGATTAGAGGAACTAAGAACGTGTAAGTATCAAGTAAGGTTCTTTGTCAAGCCATCTCATGCATGCATATCAGCTGGCCGTGGGGCCGGAAGATACAACACTAATAAACACATTAATTACCATCTGGTTCCATTTCATCAAGCTAAACTGACCCCGGCATCATCACTCAAAGAGCCACAATCAACATTAGAGAGCTGTAAGTCTATTATAATCCACTAATCGTCCACCCCTGGGCCGGCTCTACATCGTTGTCCTCTCCGGTTCATCTCAATTTCCCTTGAGGAAAGCCACATATGATGACTGTGATAAGTTGTGCTTGGTGAGGCGGTGGAAAATACTTATCCTTCTGTAGGCTGCTACTTACAACGCTTAACAAAGAGAACTAAAGCACGTCTTAACCACCACCGTTAAAAAATGAGATAAACTAAGACACTCTAAAGTATGGCCCGGTTCATTTCCATTATCCACGTTGCAGCCAAACAACTGGATAATGACTTCCCGGGGCTCTCAGAGGATAGTGACAGACCGGCCACTTGAGGCACTGAGGCATCATTACTAACAGCTTTCTCAGAAAGCCCCGGTTTCATAAGTAACCAGAGAAAGCAAGGGAGGGCAAGACAAATCCAATGAAACTGCATGGCTCATGGAAATAAGGGGTAAAAAAACAGAAAAATACGCTTGGAGTAAATATCTGACAAATAAACTAAAGGAAAAAAATGGTGTAAGGATAGTGAACAAAAAGGTAAGAGATTAGGCTATGTGCAAATAAACACAAAAGAGTTGCACAAAACAGGCACAAAACCACAAAACTTAAATAAAAAACAAAACCAAAGAATAAGACAGAAAGGCTTCAGCATCCCAGGAGAGGAGTGCAGTAACCCGAGCAGAGCCAGAGGGCGGATTAAGCTTCAAAAAGAGAGTACGAGGGGGGAAACACAGCAGCCATTCGGACCGGAAAAACACCAAATAATCCATGGAAACAAAACCTGTATCAGATATAGCTGGCTGTTTTTTGACCTCAGGAAAAACACATTGGTTTATTTCTCCTTTTTTCTGGTTGTAGGGCTGACTAAAGGACTCCAGAAGAGTGCACATTATGGATGGCTGCAACACCTTGTAGCTTCTGTAAGCCTGTGATCAACATAACTGCTCACTTCATGTCATACCCACTGTGCTTTTTACGCACTGCTCAATGCACACTCTGGCATTAAGTAAAATGCACTTATGTACTAAACAGTTTCCTTTTCTTGTTTATTGATTCATCCATAGATTAAATGGCATCCAATTTCAGCTGATGACATCATTCATTTGGGCAGAGGGCACCGCTGTTACTTCAGAGGATCATGAGTACATTTCATTCCACAGGACGCTTTAAATGCAACTTCAGCAACTCTGTGCCATATTGGTACAGGGAATTGTGATTTATAAGATGTCTCAATACCTAAATTAAAGTGTTATGGGTTATCCCCGGCATGAGCATCCAGTCGTCCTACATTCCTTATGTTCCTTTAAAGCACCGCAGTAGAAGTTTAGAAAACTGCAGTCTCCTCAAAACAAGACTTTCTGTGTGTGTGTGTATCTGTGGTGCAAAATCCTGTTCTTTAGAGGCTTTCGAAGATTTTAAATGGTTGCCAACAGAGGGTCCAAAATGTACCTCTATGGGCGCATGGGTATCATCAAGACATTTCAACACATTACCAAAAGCTGTGCCGTTTCCACACGTTTCTACAAGATTGGATAACTGTGGTTTAATGCCACTCAAAATACTAGAAAGTGTGAAGGATGAAGATGTGAGAAGATGCCAGTAAGGCTTCTCACCTCTGGCCTTCTCACTGTTCCACTGGAGTGTTGCAGAAAAGTCAAGAAACGGGATTTAAGGAGCTGATGCCACCAGCCTCCCACACACTGCTTCTAGTGTTCAAAAATGGATTCTAAGAGAGTGCTGCTACAAACCCAGATGACCCAGCCGGGGCCAGCCGCAACCAGTGGACAACGGGTGAGGGGTGAGAGCCCGGTGTGCCGATGCCCAAATAAACGTAGGCGCTTTGTGACGCTGTTAGATGATGTAAGGTGTTAGATTAAGTGGGTGGGAAAGCGGCCGAAAAGAGAGACAGCGCAGAGATCTGTGCCAGATTGCAATTTAGTGCTGACTGAGGTGGCTTTACACTTCTACTGAGCCCTCAGATTAGCATCCTACACTGAACAATGTAGGAGGAAACACACACACACACACACACACACACACACACGGAATGTGTTGCAAACACTATTAAGATGCTATCTCATTACATTTACATCCTAATTACAACACGTCATTCAACAGAATAACCAATTACATCCACATCGGGATGAAATAAAGCCAACGAGGAAAAATTTTGACTATGTGTTTTTGATTGAATAAGAATATAAGCAAAAGATTGACGGTGTTTTTATATGTGCAGAGCCATCTTTGTGAGGACCTGTCTTAGTTTCACACCTGCTAAAAACCTTCCGTGGACTGTTTGAGGATTAAAACTTGATTTCAGGGTTCAGGCTGGATGATTTAAATCGGGATTTATGGGGTTTGGGTTAAGGATGTGGGAATTGCAAACAAAAAAAAGACCATTCATTGCTATATGTGTGTTTGTGAGTCTGGCGGCAGCAGGTGTCGCAGCGGCCTCTGATCTCAGGATGTGAAGCATTTTATCAACAAACCAGTCCTGGACAGTTTATCTCTTTCCCTCATATCTTCAGTTCAACAGATAGCATCTGGCCAAAACACTTTGGCTACAGAGAGGGGAGGAAGTTCTTGTTGCTCTCGCAGATCTTCAGCTTCCATAACAGTGTTAGGGAAAAAGAAGAACAACACATATCCATATCTTTATCTTTATAGAGATACAGATTTATAGATAGATCTAATAGATATGTTTTACTCTTCCCTCTTTTCATCTCCTGTCTCACAGGGGTTCTATGCTGGTACACACACCAAAATAATAAATAATAAAAGTCACAGGCCAACCTGTCTGTTAACATGGTGGTATGGCTCTCTCCCTCATTTAACTTCAATCCAAATGTTGCCTTTTTTTTAGCTTTTAGCACGCTTCCTCTTTCAACCCTGACTCACTTTTTGCTCTCCTATTCAGCTCTTCCTAACCCCTGTTGCTTCTGCATCTAGCACTGTCCGCTTTTTCCAACTTCTGTGCTGCTGGGAAACAGACTTTTACATAAATGAAATACATAGAGAAAGCACATGAAATAATGAGGAAGAATGATCCAAAGATCCTATTCATTTGTATTTTGTCAGGGTCTCTTAAAATCTGTTCATCTGGCTCACACTGACAGCAACTCGCATATACTTTTGTTTATAACTCAGGGATGCCTCTGGCACTGACCTTGAACACAGTTTAGTGTAACCAGTGACTGATATGAATCAAGAAATGAAAGTGTTGCCACAATGTATGTCGAGAGCTGAGCATGAGGCTTCTAAAAAGTTATCCTCATCTTAACTTGCAAGCTATATCTTTAATCTCACAAAACACACAATGAAATGTGTGTTGTTAATTATAGGAGGCCAATATACTACAATAATATTTACTTTTGTTCAGAACTGCTTTCCTAAAATCAACACCATTTGACTGGAGCCATGGATGAATTAATAGGGGGGCAGAAAGGAAAAGCATCACTGTCTGCATACGAAACTGGGACAGCAGATCAGCAGACACACCTGTTTATTGTTTTGCAAAGGTTAATACGGACTGAAAAGATATGGCATTGGAATGTTTTTCAGGGTGTTTATTGCCTGCATTTTGCTGGAATACTCATTTTTCCTCTTTGTCAAATTCTAGCTATTCACACTTTGCGGGATTGCTCTGGTGGAAAACAATTTTGTCGCCTACACTGAGTATTACAGAGATGACAATGACTGAGTCGTTATGCAAATCAACCTTCCCTTCACCAAAGTATGTGAAAAAGGGAGGAATGTGCAAATAAAGTCTGTATATGCGAGAAGAAGAAATCTCCTGAGATGCGTTTCTGCTGAGAGTCTCTGGGATGTGTAAACCATACATCTGTACCCATAATCGCCTGAAATTGGAAATACCCTCCGGCAAATGCCTCACCTTGAAGATATAGTCTTTTAATATCGCCAAGGCAAATAAGATGATGAAATCTGTTAGAACTTGATGAATAAAAGGAAAGATCTTAACATGCCATGAATACATGTGTTTCTTTAGTTAGTTGCTTTAAAGGCAAAATCTTAATAAAAAAATAAGAAAAAACAACAGCTACAGAGGGCTCACGGGCATATAAAGCCAATTTTAATACAAAATAAAGAGAGGTCCAAATACTAAGTCAACCTACTACCATGGGAGGAGAGAGAAAAAGAAGTTAAAAAAAATCAAGAATGAATAAACCAAGAACTAATAGAAAATGATGGGATAGTAATAAGACAGCAGATAAAACCTAGAGGGATCTGGTGTGGCTTTGTGGCTTTCCATAACGGCCTGCAGCCAGAAGAGTGATGTAACGGCGCCATTAAATAGGGGATACAGGCCATTAGTTAGGTTGGCCAGGTTGATAGGGGGAAGAGAGCCTGACAGCACACAAACAGAGCCCATGCAGGATGAAGGGAGAGTGAAGATCAATCAAAGAGATGAGAGGACTGGCGAGGACAGTGGAGCCTGGAGAGGTGCAGAGAGCAGTTGGTCCGTCTGCAGAGGAGAACTGGAGGGGAGGCCTGAAGGGAAAAGTGTGGGGAGAGACTCTCTGGGGGTCGGGTATGTGGCCAAAATGGGTGCCTGCGAGTGTGTGAATGTTTTCTTTATTCATCAGCGCGAACAAGAATAAATTCATAAGATAGATAAAGACTCTCTGACCTCAACCACCGCACCACCAGAGACACTGTGTGTATCAATCTATCAATCCCCCCCACCCCACCCCCTGCCTGACCTTCCGGCAAACATCTTTCATCTCCTCCACGGCCTTCCACCCAGTAACCTTATGCTGTGGACTGATAAAACATAACTCAACTCGGTGAGCGTCCACATCATGTCTGAGCCCAGAAGATTTACCTCTGTGGAACATCTGTGTACGTGGCACAAAAGGGCCACAGCACACACCAGAAACAGTAGCAATGACTAGGAGACACAGTTATATAAAAGATAAGTCTAGGGCTTTAATTTAATTCAATTTGTCTGGACTATAAGGAAAAACCTTTAACTCCTAAATACCTGCACTTTGTTTTAATGCTACAAAAATAATTCTTAATTTTGCAAAATTAATAAATGAATGAAAACACTAAATGAAAACACTGATAGCATTTCAATTTTGGTAACAAATTGGATGTTACAGACTGAAGTTATTAGCAGTTAACTATATGAGTTTTGGAAATCCGTGGGATCATTTTCTTTATTTCACACCACAACATGTGTTTGTCAGGTGCATCCGCAAACCTGCGCTCATGGCGGCTTAACTTCCTGATATGGTTGGCAGACACTGCTGTTTGTGTTGGGCTTCATTCATTTGCGAATGTAGTTCAGAACACGATTCACAGAAACCATTCCCCTGAACGATTCCCCCTAATCTGTGTTTGGTGATGAAAAAAAGAAAGCCATTGCAATAGGTGATCAGATCGCAGGTGAACAGCTCTGAGTCTACTTCTAGTGACTGGCGGTACAATGCATCTCTGTGTTTTTCCCCTGGGGTCACATTCAATTAAACTTCACTTTCCCCATTTGAAAGGAAATCATCAGACCATTCTCCCTTAACAAAATGGATCTTTGTTTTTGATAAAAGATAAACTGCCAACTGGGTATATTGTCCTACTTAAATACACCACCACAGCAAAAATGAGTTTATACCTCCTTTATGCAGATGACACCATCTGATTATGTGGTCCTTTAACCCAGCCCGGAGTATATTAACTTTCAAATTACATCAGGGAATGTGGACAGAATAGAATGTATTTTTTTATCATTGGGCCATGTGTGTTTTCAGACCACTTTGACTGGTTTCATTTTGCAGTACACCTTAAAAGTGTCTTAGGTGCATTTATAAATGCTCCGTGCTGCCCACTTTTAATCGCGTCGCCCGAGATGAGCGCTGATGCCAAGTGTGAACAGGGCTGAAGGGTTTGAACAGATCACAGAGAATGAAGAACAGCGCTGACAAAGAGCGGCGGGCGTGATCCCAATTCAATAACTCACCAACATTACCTACAGGTAAAAGACAGAGATGGATGTCGCCGCCTCAGCAAAAGCTAACGGTTTCATCAGAGTTGTTGATACTGCAGGGCTTTTTTCTGGCATGAGGCGTCTCTGTGTTCAGATGGTATTGTCTCCCCAGCCCCGCTGCACTGTCGTCCTTATTGTAGCGTAAATAAAATCAAGACACCGTGGCTCTGGTTTTTCATTTCCATAGATACGCAGCGTTTCTCTCCACTAGAGATACAGGGCATTAATTTGATCATACTTTGAATCAAAATCTGCCCATTACTTAATAAATTACTATAAAATAAATATGAACGTTTATTTATCAAATATAGACTGGATTAAGCTCTGAACATGATATTTTTGCCATGTAAATATCAGCCTTTGCATACATTAATATTGCAATGATTGCAGCTTTTAGTAACACAAACAAGAACCGTTGAGAAGAATCAGTGTCTTAAACATGAATAAAGAGTAAGTTTTCACTAATTGGCCCCCAATGTTATCTAATAGATACACACGGTATGCAGGAAATGGACTTGCAGAAAGGCTGGATGCAGAAGCTAAAACCTCATGGGAAATGTGGCGGTTCATATATGCTTGTTGTGTTTTAGAAGATTAATAAACACTGTAATTTGCATTTAGTTTTCTTTAATCTTCTTTGGTTTATTCAGTGGCTCTGTCTCTCAGTACCTCATAAGCATTTCACTAAGTAGCAACAGGAAATTGAAGAATTTCTGATCTCAGACAAGGAACGAAAATAATCAAAGTAAACACGGCAAGATGTTGGATTTTTGTAATTTGTAACTCCGATAACTGTTCCACAAAAATAACTTGCTTTAAAAGATCCCAAAATGCTTTAAATGCTTATGTAAAAAAAGCCAAGATTTTATATTTGAACATCTCCTGAGGCAGCAGTAGCAGCGATAGGGCACAAAGACTACCTTTGTTTCGTTAAACTTCCGAATACTAAACATAAATCTGTGCGAGTTGTCGTCACTACATGCGCTTTGTTTGGTCAGCTCTCCAGCAAAAAAGCTATCTGCTGCTCACCAAATCATATGTGGGTAATCTAATATTCTAAAGCTTCAAAGACTTGTGAGGGTTTTTGAGTCGCTCTCCAGAAAATGCTTATCGTGTGCTGCTCTTTCCTCCGTCCCCCTGACCTCCATCCTCCTATCTCCATCCCCGCACAGTCCTGATTTATGGTCCCATCCCTGCTTGCACTCATTCCCCTCTGCTTCATGCCTCCTCTTGTGGCAACCACTAACCCACACACGACAATTACAAGGCCAGTCATCTGCCTACAAGAAGAGCATCCTTTTGCGATGAGGTACGCTACTGTCCATATATGGTTAAGGAAAGGGTGGGGATGGGAGATATGGGGTGGGATTTATGGGAAAGCAAACCCTCCCTCAGCTGTCCACACTTGTATCCCGTCCAACTCTCTGTGGCACTAAAAGCACGCTGAGCTGCTTTCTTCACTTGATTTCACAAATCTTAATGAGTCACAGGAAAGGAGAGGAAGTGTGAGGTTTTTTCATTTTCAGGGCAATTTCATCTGGTCATAAATTAATGTGGAGAGGTTGGACCGAGTTGGAAATCATGTTACCTGCAGAGAAGACTCAGGAAATTCTGCGGTACAATCCTTTTACACTCCAGTGCTTTTGCTGCAGTGCCCTGTATTATCCATCCTTCCCTCGATCCTTCCATCTTTTTCTAACCCCCCCCTCCTCCCCCCCTCCTCCCCGCACTGCTTGCTTAAACTGCAACTGAGCTGATTCTTATCCACTGTCTCTCAAGCCAACACTTTGGGCTAGAAAGGGATAGTCGGGATTATTTATGAAGTGAGATAAAGCTACCGACCACATGCAAACTCAAAGACACACGTAAAGGATTAAATGAGGATGAACAGTCATCCACATATGGGTCCTACGAGCAGTAACGCCACATGTAACTTGTGGCCAGTATTCTGAGAAAACTGCCTTCCAAAAATAAATCTACAGATGTTCATCAAAAAAGAAAAACATTCACGTGTTACCCTCCAAGTCTAAGCGCCATTGTGTGCATTTCAAAAAGATGCATTAGTGTGTGTGTGGGTGTGTGTGTGTGTGTGTGGGTGTGTGTGTGTGTGTGTGTGTGTGTGTGTGTGTGTGTGTGTGTGTG